TTAGTCATGTTGGATATAGAGATATATAAAATGTTTTAAAATTTCTCTACATGTTGTGTATTTATACTTAATAGAGAATGTCAAAGGAGCCAGGCTTTCTTTAGTGTTCATTTTTCAACTGAAAAATGTTTTAAAAAAATCTCTTAGAAATATGATTTATACAGTTCTTGAATATATAACTAATGAAAAACCTTGTGCCAAAAATCTAACACTCGAGCAACATTCTGTCATATTTTTACACCTTCATGAATATGACTACTGTTTTTCACATGTGTTCTCCTTTACCAGATTATATTGTATCTAGAATAAATAAGCAAACAAACTGTAAGAAGGTTTTCCCTTCTGCTGCCATTTTTCTGTGATATTTCAGCTGCCAACTTTGTTTACCATCCATTCTAAAAATACAAATATGAAACCCATCACCGAAATGCATACCATTTCTGTATGTTACCAAAGACAGGTATAGAAATTAATGTGAGCTCCTTTACATTTCTTCAGTAAATCCAACTATAGCAGGCTAATAAGAATAGTTATATTTTATTAGACTACTTCCACAGATCATAAACGTAAGCTTTTATTATAATCTGGCATTATACTAAGAAGTGCAAAGCATATATAAGGAGTTGAATTAAAATGGTGATTTCCTTTACCCATTCTGTGAACTCCTTTACATGCATCTTACAAGGTCCCCAATTATCTGTTTTTATAAATACACCCCTAATTATCACTCACAGATTTAGCTTTGTAATTTACCAGTCATGTAAACCTAAAACTACCACCATTTGAATGTTAGTTATACAGTTAAAGAGATACCTGTTATGTAATCTCACTTTCAATGACTTTTCTTGCAGGAAAATGAGTTGATTTGTGAGTAATACATTTCAAATCCACCCTACCCTAATCATCTGCACACGGTGGAAACTAAATATGGCGGGAAAAGCATTATGCACTCTATATATTCCACTCTGAAGCAAACCTGAAGTAAAGGAGAACACATAAAGGAGTTCACGCAATTTCATGTTCAGTGATTTTTATTGAAGAATGCAATTTACTGTTACCCTTTTCACGCAATTTCATGTTCAGTGATTTTTATTGAAGAATGCAATTTACTGTTACCCTTTCAGTCTTGATTGTTGTGTATAACAATATAACAAAATGACATAATTTGAGTATATACACCAGATATATGTGTAAAGGAGATCACGTGCTTACAAAAAATTTGTTATTACAAGCTCCAAATGGACATACCCAAAATATCTCTTGATACCCTATGTTTGTGGTATAATTCAATCAAATTATATACTTCCCAGATTGATTTTAGACTAATATTTTTATTTACTCAAAAATTTGAAATTATTGTCTTGAAAATAAACAACCATAAAGAAGAACACATGATTACAGCGAGATGTTATTTTGGATATTTTTATATGTGAAAAAGTAATAGGACGATCAGCTAATAACAAATTTTCAAAACATAGATGTTTACTAAGTAATCACAATAAAGGCTTGAGTCTTGTCATGTAAACCTAAAACTACCACCATTTGAACGTTAGTTAAAGAGATACACATCTGTTATGTAATCTGTATTTTATGAAGAATTTGTGTTATTGCTTTGAAATTAAATTTTTCTGCTGGCGACATGCTACGTTTAACACCCCACCATTGTTTATTTCCTTGGTTTGCTAGAAAGACTTAACACAAACTCAACATATTATACATGTATGGAAAGCTCTATCCATGGTCTATCATTTAAAAATTATTATATGTTTGTGTAAGGTACATGCTCAGAGAAATTTGCCCCAGAATACTGGCAACATGAAATTGGACACTTAAGAAAGCCTGCCCTTAAGTTACATTGAGACAGAATGACTTACAATTTAAGAACTAATGATAAAAAAACTACTGATTTCACAGACTTGAGAACTCTCCAATAAAATGATGCACTTGTTTTTAAATTTTAATTGGTGTTTTAAATACAAATTGTTTCACTGTGTTTAGCTTGTGTCCAGTCTCATTCTTTTTCTCAAACTCTGTCATGGTCAGAGAATTCAGATTTTTTTTTCAGTTATTCTACAGGTCCTATTCAATTACTCTAAGGGAAGTCAGTGAACCTGAGGACACTACACTGATATAACCTCAGTTAAATATTTTAAAATCTGTATTTTCAAATATAAAGGTTCTTCCTTAAATAACATGGCAGATGTCATAAAAATCAAAATGACATTTAGACATAAATGAGTTCATTGTGAGGAATTAAAACTTAATATTTAAATAAAAGAACTTCAAGAAAGTGGTTGTGTTAAATATATATGAATCAACAAGACTATTGTTCTCATTAAAAGTAGTGACAGAAGTTTTTAAGCCCAAAATAATTGCTGCAAAATCTGCTCGGATTGGTAGTATTTGAGAACTACATAATTAAAAATAAAAATGTGGAATATATCTTTTTTAGACATTTTTGTAATTATAAAATTTAAGTCTATATTTTGTCCCGTCTCTGGTCGTTAGTTAATTTTCCGTAAAAATATATTTTTTTTAGACATTTTTGTAATTATAAAATTTAAGTCTATATTTTGTCACGTCTCTGGTCGTTAGTTAATTTTCCGTAAAAATTCTTTCCGATGAAACTTTAGCGATACAAGTCCTTTCTTAAGTAAAACTGGTTTATTCTTTCTGAATACAACTTTGCAATACACTTAATTTCCACAGTTACGCTATAACAAACACAATAATTCACAACGAACGACTCACCTGCTCGACTCAATTGTCAGTCTCTCACTGTTTGCAGTTCAATTACATTGTTGCCGTCACGTCTTGGCGGTCTTATATATACAAGAATACCGCATATCTAGTAAACACTCGAGGATTCACGAACCTCGAGAATATGACGTGTTACTAGCATCACGTGATCCCCGCTGTCGTAACAATATTATTGAAGAGATTTATGCAAGTATGTAAAAGTAAATGCTTTATCTTTTCACTAATTTGACAAATTCTATAAATATCAAAAATAAACAAATTTAGTAGATGAAGCGAGGCATGTTAAGTACTTTGTTTAAAAAAAAAATTAAATGGGTGTTTCTGTTTTGAGAACACAAATATTAAGCTTTAATTCCAACAGCAAGATTACAGCCACACAGTAGTGCAGAGTAACAAAATAATAAAATTGTACTGCAGTAATAAAATATGAGTCATCTTGAACAAATCTGATTGAAAAGTCAATAACTAAATATTGTAAAAGTATACTTCAAGTTATTATAATCAGACCATCGTGGTAACCGGTGTAATAAAGAATCAATTCTAAACTTTATATACCGACTTTAAAAACTATAGACAAGATTCATATTGTTAACAGTATTTAGGTGCCAATCTTGTAAGTTATCAACCAAATTTGTATTCATTACACGACAGCATCAAGCAGCACTTTCAAGAAGTAAAATCATAAATAATATTCAACGTTAAACTGGTACATAATTAAAAACCTGATATTCAAGTCCGTATGTTGTAACACAAGATTTATATAAGTGAATGTTTTTCAATCCTTTAGTAACTCTATATCTAACATGACTAACGTGGATGTAGTATCTCTATATCCAACATGACTAACGTGGATGTAGTATCTCTATATCCAACATGACTAACGTGGATGTAAATCACTGTAATGTAACAATGTTGACATTTTATGTCACAAAATTACCAAAGTAAAGTCATTGTACATTTCACTGTATTGAAATTGTATTACCTCAGTTTACAGGAAAACTATACTGTTCCCATGATAAATCTGAGTTGATAAAATCCTAATTAGAGGTAATTTGTCCATTTTACGCTAAGTAAAAATATTTTAATCAAAGTGGCAACTAACAGTATATACATAAATATATGTATATTCATATATACAAACACACATTGTATTTTAATGCTCATTCTATTTTCTTTGTGCAGTCATGTAGAAACACAGTGTTAATAAGCAAACATTTGTGGCCTAAACTTCGTAGCTAGTTAGTACATAAATAAAACATTATCTTATTGTTTATAATTCATTAACAATACAGTCTTGGATTATCAAACAAATGAGTGTAGTCAAGCTGTTGCGATATGCAGGTATACTACGCGATTTCTACCCACTTATTTAAGAACACAAAATCTCTCCCTTACTTTAGTAGGTAAATATGTAAGTTCATACTTGATTTTTAACATTTGGTTGTTGAAAGTTTTCATATCAATATAATATAAATTCATGCATACAGGTTTTAAAGTGAAGTAAATTATTAGGGTTACATTTTATCTCACTTTGTCACGAGTTTCATGCAATGTCTCGGGTTATCAGGTTATGCATTTTTTCGATTAGAAGTTCCAGTGGTGTGAAAGGTCAATTTACAGGTACAATTACTAACCGTTTTTTTGTTAGTTAATAAGTACATAATTGAAATTGTAGGGTAAATCAACTAATTTCTTTATTGTGGAATCCAATATTATGTATTTTTTTTGTTATTTTCGCTAGTTTAAATTCAACAAAATCCCCTACTTACAGTCTGTGTAACTACTGTCACCAGACCAGCCCAAGACACGATATAAAGCTGAGAATTTTTTTCTGTATCTCTGACATACCGCTACTGCTTCTTTGATAGTATCCATGGCAACACGTATATCTCCCTAGAAGGAAAATGCCAGAGAAAATTATTAACGAACAGAAAAATTACCTCTCACCCATGTAGAAAATGTACCTGCTAGCAACAACTATCAAACACAACATTCTGAAAAAACAAATAACACAAACTACAAATACAGCCATAATACACACAAAAACATAAAACTAGCTAAATAAATCATTATAATAACAGTCTGTTAATATAAACCGCAGCATAAAAAAAATGAGTTGAAAAATTTGTCATAAGAGTCTGATGAATAACAAGTATTCAGAAATAATACAGTACAGACTTCTCCTTGTCCCACCAAAATAAATCTTATTACTTCCATCTTTCTGCTACCATAGCTTCGTAAAATAACTATCAGGAAGTTTACATATTCCAATACACTAAAAATTACTGACTACTAAATCACAAGAAAACATTTCTGTTCAGAGAGACTGTCACACATCAAATTTTAAACAACTGTTACTAACCAATTCTGATAGCTTTATTCCTTAATACAAAATTGAAAAAAAAATTAAATCTCTGTTAAAGATAATTATAATTTTAGCATTTTTGTAAATTTTCACCAAAGCAGTTGTTTGCCAACCTAACTGAAATTCTCTTTTTGTGGTATTACAATATATACACAGTTGTAAGCTATATTTTCAACATCATAATTTAGTTTTTTGATAGAGGGAGCTGACAGTCATTATGATTATGGTGCTGCATCTAGAAAATTCACAAAAGTAGTCTTAGAATCTAGAAAATTCATGTACTTAGTAGAAGTGAGAGTTCAGTATAAATACAAGATTGGATAATAGAAGAAAAACTTACTGAGTAGTTGGTAAAGCTACTTGGATCACTGACAGTTAGTGCTTCTGTCAAGTAATCAGTAAATTAGTCAGGTTTGTTATCAATCCAGGAAATTTCAGTTAAATATTGTTACTATATTAGGCTGACAGTAGTTTCAGTTGAAAAGTTTTGTATCTGAAGTTAGACCTATAGGTGAGTGTGGCTGTAGCAAACATTAAAGAAGAAATAAATTAACTTGTTTTTATACATGGACTTTACCTTGCATTATTTTTACTAAATAATCTAAAAGAACATGCAAAATGATAGAACAAAATTATAACAATATATATATATATCTTTTTTAAATACACAAAAATGGTAAAAGTATTACAAAAATCACATTCTATAAATACTATTGATATTACTGAAAATATTTCAGAATTATCTGGAGAATACTGAAAAATATAAAATCTCCCTTAATTCTCAACATAACACTTTTATTAATCTCAAAATAAGTTTTGTGTAAGAACATGTTATGGTTTTATTTTCGGAAATAATTATGATAGACAAGAAAACATTTTTTTACTTACAGTTTCAAAAGTCATAAAAGCTCGAATAAACATAAATACTCCACGACCAAGAGCATGATAAATACTAGTTTTAGCCCTGCAAAAAATAATAAATAATTTGTAAAGTATCAAAGAGAAATAAAGCATTGTTACTTTTATACAATGAACTTTTTAAAACTGTGGTGTATATACAAACTGAAACATTTTATATTGGCTACATGTTACATTCAAAAGAGCAAAGTAGTAGTACATCTTGTGATTTATACTTCAATGACTTGTTAACTAAGTACTATATAAGCATTATGTTCTGATCAAATATTTCAGCTTTAGTACATGAATGACAATATCAAATTAATTATGTATTTCACATTCAACCGAATAATGACAAAGTAAACTTCAATAGATGCTTCAAATTATCTTTAAATAATGGCACTGTTAAGTTCACCAAGTGTTTCATATCAAATGAAGTGCTTTATATTTTATAGTACAGTGAAATATTTTTGAGACACAAAAACCATCTAGTTAAAAAAAACAATCTTAACCTTTATAAGACACAAATAAATACAAAACCTTGAACTTCTTATTGTAACACACTAAAAGCAGAAATGAAATTCATTGAAAAAAAACACAAAATAAATAACTTTATTAACACAAATAAATATAAAACCTTGAACTTCTTATTGTAACACACTAAAAGCAGAAACGAAATTCATTGAAAAAAAACACAAAATAAATAACTATTAATACAAATAAATAACTTTATTAACACAAAATAAATACCTTTATTAATACAAATAAATATAAAACCTTGAACTTCTTATTGTAACACACTAAAAGAAGAAAAGAAATTCATTGAAAAAAAAAACACAAAATAAATAACTTTATTTACCCTTTACTGATTTCTTCTAAAGCTTTACTAAAGTTGTTACTCAGGAACAAATCAATAAAAACAGTTGTTTCTTTCAGTAAATTCTCTAAATCTTCATCTGGAGTCAAGGGAAGGCTTAATAAAAAAAACCATCATCAGCTAGTTATCAAGATAATCAAAAAGAAATACACATAGCAGAAAATACAAGCAAAACTAAAAGAATATCAAATAATCTAACACAACAGTTTTATAGTAAATTTAAAAAACACACATACATCAGAAGTTAACAATGATAATATAAAACTATGTAACAACAAGTCAAAGACATGTTTAAAAATTCAACATTTTTCTCTGGTGGCTAAAAACTTTAACTATTCCCAAAAAACCCATTTTAATTTTATATATCGTACTTATTTTAGCTTATAAAAATGGAGGATATATAGAAAAATATTTAAGTTTTTGGTGCTCATTTAAGAGCTTCAACAAACGTAAAACACATTTATTTTCTAAATAGAATAAAAATTAAGTTACTCAGCAATTTTTTATAGTCTAGCTTTTGTGCAAACACTTTAAATATACTATAAAGTGTTTAGCTAAAGAGTTTTACTATTGCAACTAAACAGATTTGTGATTGTGAAAAACACAATATAAAGAAAACTGCATTTTAAGAATGAAAGAAACAAAATAACACATAAAATAAATATATTAGAATGTTTATTATGCCTAATCACCTACCTATTATGGGATTCTTCCTTGACTATGTCATTCTCTAGAGCATCTTCATACACCTAAGAAAAAAGCAATAACACTGTAGTCTCTGACATAGGTTTCTTAACCTAATTCAAAAATCTCATTAATTAATAACTATAACCTTATCTTTATCTCTGGGAGACAACTGTAGGGCTTTGTTCTTTAATTGTCATTTTTTAGTCCCATAAGTTAGATAACAAGTAATGTTTTTTTCTGATATATTAATAAGCATGATATGTTCAAAACATAAGACTTAAGCCTTGATTTTACCAAACAGTGCTCTGATTTTTGGCATCAAGGGAAGTGAAAGTGCAGGTAATGATCAGAATTCTGATTTGTAACATAACAGCTCAAAGCTTATCCTTGTTAGCCTTAAATGGCAAAACATGTTTGGAATGAAAATTTATTTTACCAAACCTAAACATTTATTTGCCCATTTGTGAAAATAATCTATAAAAAGTATTAATTGTTGTAAACTAATCAAAACGTAGTAGCTAAGGCTACTAGCGTAATTGTTACCTCCATTAACTTGGAGATATTGCTGAAATTTAGCAATAGAGAAGTCTACAAGTAAATCTTATACAGAATATGATAATAAATATGCATTCAACATTAATAAATATAGGTTTCATAAATGTTTATACTTTTAACTAGTTAACTAACTAGCCTTATAAAAAAAGAACCTAACACATCACAGTTTATTCTACTTACAGTTTAATAAATGTTCCACAACACCCTGCTATCGTATATGCGGGCCCCCCTAGTGGCACAGCAGTATGTCTGCGAACTTACGGTGCTAGAATCCGGGTTTAGATACCCGTGGTGGGTGGAGCACAGATAGCCCATTGTGTAGCTTTGTGCTTAATTAGAAACAAACAAACATCTTATATGTGGCTGGTTAGTTATATGTTTTCTTAAAATCACATAGAGATTAAGCAGCACAAAGTCAGAACAGTCACAACACAACACAACTGATACCCACTAGACATGATATAAAGCAAAAAATACCATTTACAACATCTCTTGTAAACGTGAACTCTTAATACACTGGAAAAAAAAAAAGACCATTAAAAGTTATAATTAAACAGACTAATATATACACAACTCTGTGAACTCTTAATATACTGGAAACAAAAAGACCATTAAAAGTTATAATTAAACAGACTAATATATACACAACTCTGTAATACTGATCTATCTGAAACAGCCAGTCATAGAAGAGAATAAAGACTACACAATAAATTGGAATAATACCAAAATAATGGGATATGAATTACACACAAGAATAAGAGTGAGAAATGAAGCGTTCTTCATCCACCTCACTGGTAGCATAATCAGATAAACTGTCACAGAGGTCACTAAAACCAGAAAATATTCGAGTAAATTACCTGATTAAAGACCTCTCTGAAAAGAGCAGCAGGTTAGCAGCCAAAGGTTAGTAACAATATATATATAACAAGAAATTATCTTTACATATATATTAATTTGTATTGGCAATACAGTAAAATTGTACGTTAAGTTCATTGTCTATCAACAGGTTATTGCCTTTGATTCTCTTGTCTATCATTACACTGATCTATAAGGCTTAATATTAAAAGTCCTTAAAGCCATTTGTGCTTTGTTGTAACATGTTTAAACTTGATACAACTGAACAGTTATTTACGTTAATAAATAAGCAAAGATGGGCTTATGAAATTGTTTTCTAAACTAAACTATTTTCTCTTCTTAGCAAAATAAAATCTAAGTACAAAAGATCATATTTGCTGTAAATATACTTTTAATAGTTTTTGATTTAGTTGAAGCAAGAACTACACATTTAAGTTGTATTCCTTCAAGTAAGTTTATCACAAAAATGTGACAGGCAAAAGATTTATCTCATCAGAAACTGGAGAAGAAAAAAGTGACATACAAAAACCTTTTGTTAATTATAAGAAAATTAAGGATCGTCAATTACAGAACTATATGTTTAAGATACTAGATTCCCAATTCCTTTTTTTAATTCCCTTTTGCTATATATACATTTTTGAGATATCTGATCTGATAACATGATAGTAAACAAAGAAGTTACTTGGAAAACCACGTAGGTTCAATTTTAATATTTTAAGCATTTTCTAAAAATCGAAAATGAATAAACAATCCAGTATATTACATAAGCAAAACACTGCAGATTGCATCTGTAAAAAACAACATGTCAACCAATAGTTTACAGAAGGGATTCCCAGAGAATTATAGTTCTCGGTCACAATAGTGTCTGAGTTTCAAAGCTGCAGTTGCAAATATATAAATCTTCCATATTCAAAACACTAAATTATTATACAACAAACAACAAATGAAAAAGTCTACAGTACTATTACATGCTGCATTTGCACTGTTTATTTCAAGTCATCTGTACTCCCATTAGTTGTAAGTCAGCTATAAAGGATCACCATGATCTTTAAACATTTGTCTGCCACTTAATAGCAGCCCCCCCAGTGGCACAGTGCTACGTCTGCGGACATACAACGCTAAAAACCGGGTTTCGATACTCGTGGTGGGCAGAGCACAGATAGCCCATTGTGTAGCTTTGTGCTTAATTACAAACAAACAAACTTAGCAGCAACCAGTGAGCAAATGTTAGCACCAAAACAAGGCATTGGTAAGTGGGTGTTTGGCCAATAAAAGTCAATGATTGTTCTGGGTGTTTTTTTTTTCTATCCAGAAGCTTTTTCTACTTTAAAATCATTAATAAATACCTATTGGTAATTATATTTAAAAAACAAAAAATCAGATGAAGTGGAATGGTAAGCAGATGATACATTGCCTAGACAACAGTTTGCTTTGCTTCATAACAGGTATACATCTGTCAATCATGAAACCAATGTATACAGAATATAATCAAGCTATCACACTCCGTTATTTTACACAGTGATATTTTTATATGAATGCAACAAACTACACTATGTATTCTTAAAACCTAAATAACCACCTAAACTTTAACAAGATGAAATAGCTAAAGCTACTTACTGCAATACTGAAGCAAAGAATTCTATAAAAAAATACCCTTTATCACCGCAAACGTTTCAACTGTCAAGAAGTTAAATGAAGTCATTCAAAAAAAGTGATGTTAATATATGTTAACCAATATTAAAGAAGTACACATTTTCTCCTTTCACTAATAACCCTTCATTGTACTACAATTCTATGCACAAAAAAGAAAAAGTTTTGTAGTCATGCAATTTGCAACTGTGTAATATCTTTCATTGCATTAATTCTTCATTAATGCTAGAACATAGTACTTAAACAACCAATGAACTACTTGCCATTTTTATTTACCTGGAGATTTTTACACAGGTGTAAGTGGACATATTTTAAAAGTCAGAATTAAAATAGTATTTATACCAATTTAATTATGAGAGATCCAAACCTGTTAATACCGATTTCAATTGTCACTGTAACTTTTTTAATGACATTGTCCCCAATATCTGGTGTTCTAAGTATTAATTTTTTATTTTATTACTTGAATTTATCTCTACTTTATCCATACTTACTCTATCTCCAGAAAAACCAACAAATTCCAAAACCCTCATCACCCGTTTTGGAAGCTGAGAAATCAACTGTCAGAAAAGAAGAATCATTTGGTTATTTTCAACAATTTACACGTTTTTTTTTACCTCCTAGTGTCCAAAACTAGTATAATCCAATAACACACACTGATCAAAGTGTAAATTGAACTGGACCTTCCTCGAACTTAGACTTTGAGATTAAACAAATTTTGGAACACTAAGTATATTTATTAATGTGTAACTTATTGTTACATAACATACACATACATGTATTTATAGCTAAGTCACTAGCAAGACCTCTACTGGATTACTGTCATATAGAGTTACACTTAACGTCAAGATTCATTTACTCTCTTCAGTTTTCAAACAGACCTTACTAAAACATAATATTTTGCCTCAATCTGTCATATGTTATAGCTTTCACCAGTCAAAATTTTATTTCTTTGTATTTATCACATGGCATTTCTGTCCTTGAGCCATGAGTGCATACACTAAAAACATCATTGCTGGGTTTAGAATGCTTCCTGTACTTTTATAAGCATTATGTTAATGTGACACTGCCTGATCAGTTGAATAACAGCAAATGACAGTGCAGACTCTCCACATCCTCTGGTGCAGTTCAAGGTATCGTACAGGAGATGTTTATAGTTAAAGACAAGGCAAAATGTGAGATGACAAATATGATCAAAGAAGATATGAAAAACGACAAGAAAAGGGTAATAACTAATAGAAGTATAGACCAGCAGGATGGGGTGTATAATCCAATCAAGCAAATTGGAAAGAAATAAGTTACTAAAGAAAGAAGAATTTTATGAAAATACATTTGCATGCACCCTAAAAATGTGTAGTATGAGTGAAATAATATTAAATAAACTGTACAGAACAAAGGAGACACGATCCAGGTTGGGATGACCACGTTATTTTGTATCTCAGTCTTGGAGTAAAGTCTTTATTCTAACTGTAAGCTTCCTCGATTTGGTAACTTTGTACTCCCCTCGTGATTGAATAGCCTGGATTTAAATAAATTCATTTGTAGCTGGTGTTAAAGTCAAATTCCAGAAGACTAGCTTACTAGCCTCCCATTACATACTGTAAATGGATCAGATATCCAGAATTGCACCCCACAAGAACAGAGGCAGTGTAAAGGGGTGGTCATAGGATTAGTTGGCATCCATCACAAAGTGCCACCTGAAGAGCTCTAAACAGCTGCAAGTCTAAGTAAGGTGAAGGAAAATGATCATCCAGGGGCTTGTGGGACCAAGTGAGTCACCAAGACCACAAGAGGTTGAAAAGAAGATAATGTATTTCTGGAGAAACTTGCAGTGAGAGGCCAGAAACCTAGGAAGGAGCCATGTATGGGCACATCCAAGATGAACAAGCGACATCATAAAGATCATCATCAAGGTTGTGATGGAAAGCCTTGAAATGAAAATAAAGCATGAGAATAAACAAAGTGGAGTACGAAATGAAGATGAGTAGTTGGAGAGATAGAAAAA